CTTCTTCATTATAATTATCTTAATAATTTTATGTATTTTTCCTTTTTTTTCTTTTTGTTGTAAACCATAATATAAACCTGTCTTGTCTATGTACAAAATGTCTCAGTCTGTATATTCTATTTTATTCTATTATATTCTAAAATAAAAATGTTTGTTAATTTTATCAATATTTCATTTAAGATATTCGTTTTACGTATTCACATAATTCCACGCGTTTTCTATTTTCAATAGTAGTGTTAACACTTCATCAAGGTTTTATAACCAGAGCAGTAAGTCCTCCATATGAATTACCTTTTACTTTTTTCGCATTACCAAAAATTAAACATCGTTAACGAAATTTCTTCCGGATCTTACTTTGGAAATTAACCCCCTTTCCCTTATTCTTTCCTCCTTTTTCCTATACTCTTTAAAATTATATCTCTATCCGAGCAGTTAGTACTTAGGTATACTTGTAATATTATCTACAACATAACGTCATTAGCTAGACTACTCTATTTGCATGCCTGTATACGTGCGTAGTACGTACAAGCCTTATCTTAAAATATGTAAGTACTTCGTTAATTTATTTACCTATATTGGTATATGAAATAATGTATCAACTTTGTTTATCAGAAATAAATTAAAATTTTCTCATCTATTTTAAAACGTTTGTAAGTAATTAGTAATTTAATTAGATGTTATACTATGATAATATTGAATTTGTAATCTTAAAATATGAGTATTAAACACAATATACACATTTTTTAATTATTGTTTACTACCTACTTAAAGAGTGTTATTAGGTACAAAATAAATATAACTACCTATGCTATGATATTTGGTGTATCAGTACGTTGTAGTAGTTGTACCATGATATAAAAAAATTGTTTGTACCTACATACATTTTAAAATTAGTATAATATAATAGCAATATCATATCGACATGTCATCATGATATATGGCTGACCAGTGACCACATCCACTTAGAATTTTCTTTTTTCTACAATGGTCCGTGATATGTCATATATGTATTTCAACATCCATATTACAGCAGTGACCCACTCGACACTTACTGTACAGCACTGCAACAGTGGATGCTGGAGTTCCAGTTCTTGGAATCCCTTTATTTTACGATCAGCCAAGGAACATTGACAACTTGGTTAATGCCGGAATGGCCATTTCCATGGATATTTTATCTGTGAAAAAGGATACATTTTTGAGAAATGTATTGGAACTAGTAAATAATGAAAAGTGAGTTAAATTATTGAAAAAACAATAAAAATATCAATTTAACAAAAATGTATTTTAAAGATATATTCGCAAAAATCGCAAAAATCGCTTCCAATATACTCAAAAACCACCCGATGTCTCCTGAACAATCAATACTTTACTGGACTGAATATGTAATTCGTCATAAAGGTGCCCGTATTTGATGCCTCACTCATTTAATCTAACTTGGTACCAATACCTTTTATTGGACGTCATCGCTGTGACGGTAGTCTTTAGTTGTTTGAGTCTATTTATAACGTATTATATATTTATAAAAATGATTCCCAAATATAGTTGGAAAAATGTGAAGAATATTAAACAAAATCAGAATAAGTTAGTACGAAAGATTCGATTTTAAATATTTATGGTTTTACAGTTACAATAATGTGTATTATAAAGTAAATAAATATTAAATACTACCTATAATTAAATGGACTTAGTATGATATAACTATATGAAATTATATAATATATTTATTTGGCATAAATTAACTAACATTATCTAACCAGGTATAGTCTATAAATATTTGTGTATTGTGTGCATTTATGAACAAATATTGTTAAGTACGTACACTGAAAAAAAAAATTATTATAATATTACAGTTAAACAAATTATAGGTAGTAGAAACCTCTATTTAATATTTAAAATAACTAAAATGGTTTACTTATTATTATATAAATATAATTGTTTGTTATGGTAATGTACACTACATTTTATAGTTAACGGAGTTTTCAATGTTTGAATGATCTAAAAAATTTAGTGAAAATAGGATATTTCAGTTCGAATAACTATAATAACTTGACTATGATATTTTAGTAATTCTGACTAACCTTATAGCTATCCATATAGCAATATATATTTATGTTACGATAAACAAAAAAATGTTGTAACATTTTAATTGTAAATAACATAAAACGAATTTTTTTTTCAAATGTAAGCCCAGGTTGGAATTGATTGTAGCACCGCAGGAACTGAGTATTTCAACTTCAGATCTAGATGGAATCGCTGATTTCTTAACAGGGCAACCAAATGCACATATTAGTAATTACTATAGTAGTATAAACAATTTTTAAAGGGTCATAAAGTTAAAAACCTTGAAATTTGAATACAAGGTTCCTCATAATTTATTATTACAAGGATAAAGAAAAGGCAC